TGCTAATTGGTTCTACTGCTCGTTTGTAGAGGATTTTAATGTATATATTGGATGATATTTTGCCAGGCTTTTTCATCATTGTATCAAAATACAGAAGTCAGAGAGGAAACGGAAGCGATGCTACTAACAAGTGATTTTTTTTTTTTGCACAGGATCAGTTGAAGATACTGTGAGACATAGTCTTGCAATCCACCAACAAGTAGCAACACTAGGAGCCAATGATGTCGTTCATATACAGCAAATACACCAACCTAATCAACAGAGCTTACACTTGCCGCAAAAGGGTAAGTCTGTTACTTCCCACTGATCTTGATTTACATTTTTATGTGTGTGTTTATATATATATATATAGATAGATAGATATAGATATAGATATATAAGATATAGATATAGATAGATATAGATATATATAGATATAGATATAGATAGATATATATTATATATATATATATTATATATATATATATATATATATATATATATATATATATATATATATATATATATTATATATATATATATAATATATATGTATATGTATGTATATATATGTATGTTTAATATATGTATGTGTATATATATAATATATATATATATATATATATATATATATATATATATATATATATATATATATATATATATATATATATTTATATATATATATATTATATATATGTATATTTATATATCTATATATATTATGTATATTATATATCTATATGTATATGTATATCTATATGTATGAGTATATTTATATATCTATATGTGTGTGTATTTTATATATTTAATCTATCTATCTATATATATATACATATATATATATATATATATATATATATATATATATATATATATATATATATATATATATATATATATATGAATGTATACACACACATTTATGCAATTTCTTGTATTATATTGAAGAGTCAAATGTTTATTTCATTTCCTCCACAGTGGCCACCTTGAGCAGTGGAACCATAGAAAACGCAGTAACACATCTCATGTTACAACATTACATCAATCAGTCATTGCACCTTCTAATCCGACCAGCATTGGTTGCTCAAGCCCTTGTGTCACGAGTGAGTTCCAATGCAGTTTGCCCCATTGGTGAGTTTAATTGTTTGTTTTGGTGTCATTTCTCGACCTCTTCCGAGTGTTGTGATGTATTGGATCAGGTGACTTATTGCATATCGTGTAAAAGTATTGGAAGTTTACGTTAATAAGGGAACTTTGGCCGGTAGTGCTTCACTTTATAAGATATTAAAGTAGAATGAAGTTTTTGTATACCTTGCTAAAACTGTAATTGTTTTATCAACGCTTATTTAATGATGTCTTACGTTCTTGCAGATTGATCAGTCTGCAATCAGTCAATCCTAATTACCCCTTAAGAGATCATTTTTGATACTTAAATTATTCCCTTTTATACAATTTTTTTTATACTTGAAGTTTGACATGCGGGAGATATCAGTTCTAAGATTTCTCTCTCTTTTTTTTTCCTGTTTATTTTTTTAGGAGATGAGTATATTTGTGCAAATGTCATTGAAAGGAAAGCTAAAATTGGCAATAAAGAAATTGCACAGAAAATGAAGTACAGTCCTAGTCTCTATAGTCTAAGCCTACATTAGTTTTACAAAAGAATAGATAGAAAAGATAAGTAAGTATTATTTCTTTTTATTCTCCTTTTTCCTACAGAGGAGCTACAGAGCCGATTCTTCTTCCTCCGTTCCTTAATGAGCAATGATTTCATCTTCGAGAAGGACACTGGAGGAAAGGTAAGGACATTGGACAAGAGTTACTTATTCTCTTTAAGCTTACTAAACTTATTTATTTTTGCTCTTATGCTTTTCCTTCTTTCTTATGTATGATTAGATATCTCAGTAATTATTATAAATGAAACTGGTAGGCTAAAAATTGAGAAAAAAAATTATTTTCTCTTATGTTGAAAGTTTGGTGTAGAAAGTTACATGACATTTGAGGAAGTACTTCATCCAGCTTTTTAATACTATGTGTTAATTTGAATGTCTTTTGTCATTGATTTAAGGAATTAGATATTTCTCATTTGAGTGATTATTTTGTTGTACATGATTTTGTTTATATGTAGATGGCCCCCACAAGAGTTAATTCCGTGCCCTACTATCTCCCCTGCTTACCCTTCTTGATTTTTAGGGAAGATTAAAAAAAAACTTGATTGCTATTAGTATTTTGGTAACATTATGTTATACAGATAATAAAAATTATTATAACAGTATTGATATTAATTTTACCAGACAAAATCTTTTTCACTAAAATTCAAGGAATGGGGACATCGGATGAGGTCCCATAGAATTTACTCTTTGATACTTTGGTGATGTGCCATCTATGTGTAAACAAAATTTTAGAAACCAAACTACAGTGAACACTACATCATTTTTTTTTTTTTTTTTTTTTTTTTTTTTCTTTGCTTTTTTTTTTCTTTTTTTCTCATCATCTTTCCTGTCTGTTTATGTTTTTTCTTTACTCTTCTCCCAGGACTTCATGGAAGGCTTATCCCTGCTGACGTGGAGCGGAGAAGTCAGTTTCATCCAGGGTTCAGTCCACCATACCGGCAGAGGCAATAAACTGATGTCGTTGCTTCTCGGTCTCCTCAAACCCTTTGTCATCACCTACAGTTGTGCTGCAGAGACACTAGTAAGACTAATTCTCTAAGAACTGTTGCATAATTTTTGTGATTATTAACAGTAATTTGGTTTGGGTAGGGAGAAGCAATATGCCAGTTTGTTTGTTAGGTGTGCTATAGGTTTGATGTAGCAGTTGTAGTTAAGTCACTGTCAGTCTCCTTTTCTTGATGATTGATTGTTAATAGCCCATTGTGGCAAACTTTGTCTTTGTTCATATGTGGAACACAAAGTATTTTTGTGACACAAAAAGAGTTAATTTGGTACTTTTATTTTTTCTATTATGAACTTGAAATGATGTATTATTTTTTACTACTTCTTATTTCTTGTCTCATGAATAGATTATAAGAGAGTAAGCTACAAAAATATAATTTACAATAAGTAACAAGTTTTTCTAAGGATAATTCAAGATTTTATTGAAGGAGATGGAAAAATATTTTGTAGAATAGAACATTTTCTACAGTCTAACAGATTTTATCACTCTTACTACCCATTTTATACATAAACAGAATAAATTGCAATTTTTATCAGGCCTCCCAAGATTGGCTCGACAATGGTGAAGTCGTACTGGCCATCCAGCGTCACGTGGAGAGAATAGTTGCAAGTTCGGGGGTGTACTCTGCCCTCTCTTTGGACCCTACTCGCCATGCACTGCGTTCGCTCATCAAGCTTGGAATGGTTGAGAAGAGAAAGGGGTAAGGGTTCCTTACATTTTATTTGCTGATGTTTGGAAACCAATAGGATGCATGATATGTTAAAGCTTTTGTTACTTTCTTTTATTTCATTGGTTTAGTGAGATATGCAGGTTACCTTCTCCATCCATGGGAATATGGTCTGTGGTTCTGATTATCCTCAAAAAAAATTGCATGCATACATACATATATATACATATATACTTACATACATACATATGTGTATACATATGTGCATACACATAGTATACATACACACACACACACACACACACACACACACACACACACACACACACACACACACACACACACACACACACACACACACACACACACACACACACACACACACACACACACACACACACACACACACACACAGCACACGTAGACACATATTATCAATATTATTATTATCATTATTATTATTATTATTATTATTATTATTATTATTATTATTATTGTAAGCTATATAAAGAGCCACACTGAAAATATCAAGATTTATACTGCCAAAGGTGTCAGTGCAGGTCAAGATACAGCTAAGAAAGAATGAGAAGATAGAAAGTCAGCTATTTACGTAAGAAAAACATATTAGCTGATCTTTTAAATTTTTCAAGAGTCGGAGAAAGGACAATCTGACAATCTCTGAAGGCAATCTATTCCAAAGCCTACAAATAGCAGTAAATAAGCATTTTGAAAACTGACTTGTAGATGATCGATATATCAAATGTCATTGAACTAAGGATCATAGAACTATTGGTAACTCTTGCAGGTTGATAAAAATCAGGTAAAAACTTATAGAGGGGATGTGAATTATTGATTACAGTCTTGTATGAGACTGAAAGAGCTCCAATAACCCTATGATGTCCAGTGTCTAAATGTAAGTCAGACAGGAGAAATTTAATGGAATTAAAAGAACACACATATTCATATACATGTGTTTTTATGTATATTATATCACTCTGCACTTTATTCTTCTTGGTTTCTGAGTGGGTATTTGTTACTCTAAGGACCTTCAACCTTTCCAGAATGGGTGACCAGACGACCCTCTCTCCCAACCAAGAGAAGCTGCAGACAGTTCTCCAGGAGCTCGGGAGAAGCAGTGAAGGAGCTCTAAGGCCGAAGCTGTAGCCAGTTGACGCAGTCGATCTAGGAGAATTGCTTCAAACAATGCGCATCATGCACTGAGCCAGAAATCTTTGACAGTGCGAAATACAAATAATAATACAAATATCCTAGTCAATTTGATAACTAGTGATAGCAAATTCCTTTCTGGTCTTGAGTTCCTTTGGTTGTGTTTAATGAAGGACTGAAGTTAATAGATGAAAATAGGTTGTTTGTTGTATTAGGTGACAGAATCAGATGACTGAGATTTTGGTATGTCTATAATTTGATAACTTTCATGATTTGTGATGGATTTGATTTGAAGTGTTATACAAAGCGATGCTAGTACTTGTAATGTGCATAATTGACAATGCTTTAACGTTTTCTCAATGGAAGTACAATTTAGTGTCATCAAGTAATTGTTAATAGGAGCTGTTGCATGTATCCGGATTTTCTAGCCTGCTGCTTCTTTATTTTGTTTTTATATCCTTTCTGAATTCTTGCTCTCTCCTTTTCTCTCTCCCACTTCCTCCTCTTCCTC